CCTTCAGTGTATTTTTCATATCTACACCTCTATGTGTCCCATTACCACCAGCCAGCACAGTCCCTCTGTTAGCCCCCTCCCTGACCAGTCTCCGTGCCCCCATCTCCTTCTCTCACCTTTTGGCCTACCTCAACCACATTTACTTTACTTTTAAAAAAATTTTTTTAAGTTTATTTATTTTTGAGAGAGTGACAGAAACAGAGTGTGAGTGGGTGAGGGGCAGAGAGAGGGAGACAGAATCCGAAGCAGGCTCCAGGCTCTGAGCTGTCAGCACAGAGCTTGATGTGGGGCTTGAACCCATGAACTGTGAGATCATGACCTGAGCCGAAGCGGGACTCTCAAACCGACTGAGTCACCCAGGCACCCCAACCATGTTTACCTTTCATTCATGCTAATCTGCTCTGAGCAGGCCACTACCTCCACCAGAAATCCTTCAAGGATTCTGCACTTCAGGTTTCTAACTCTCCAACCTTGATTTCTACTGTACCCCACACCGACTCCACATTCCAACCTTATCTCCCATTGTACTCACACCTACTTCACATTTCAGCCGCCTGGTCTACTTGCTCTTCCCAGGATCCCTTGCATTTTCCTGGTGTACCTTTCCACAGGCCCCTCCCTCTATCTAATCCATCTCTGCCCATTGCAGTCCTACTGATTATTCCAGAAGTAGGTCAAGTGCTATCTGTTCGAATATGTTTTCTTCTTTTCCTATTCACGTCTATATTGCCACTCTTGCATTGTTCACCACATGTTAACCTTATGTTATCATTTATGTATCATTATTTGTGTACTTATTTCTTCTGCCTACCAATATTTCTCTTTTTTTTTAAGTTTATTGATTTATTTTGAGAGGGAGAGAGAGAGGGAGGAAGGAGGGAGGGTCAGAGAGAGAGGGGGAGAGAGAGAATCCCAAACAGGCTCCGCACTGTCAGTACAGAGCCCAATGAGGGACTCGAACTCAGGAACTGTGATATCATGACCCGAGCTTAAGTCAAGAGTCAGATGCTCAACTGACTGAGCCACCCAGGCGCCCCTGCCTACCAATATTTCTTAAGTACCTATGACATGTCAACCGTATGCACTAGGCGTTTTACATGTGTTATCTAACTTAATCCTCACAACAGCTTTGTGAGAGTAAGAATAATGAAGAGTATTGTCATCCCCACTTTACAGATCGGGAATCTGAGGTTGCAAGAAATTAATTAACTTGTTCAAAGTAGCATCCTTACTAAGTGGCAGAGTCATCACTCACTCAATTGAATTTTATTACAATCCAGGTATGCCAGATTCCTAAGCCCTACAGACTTTTCAGTATAGATTGGGAAGTCCCTTTGGGGCAGTTAATGCTGGAACCTCAGGACAAGGCAGATCTGTTAAGAAGGTTTTCTGCTCCTCTCTCATTAGATTGAGACTCATCGTGCTATAGGAAATGCTCCTTTGGCTCTCAGTCAGCACTTGGCCCAGGTTAGCGCAGGGCTAAAGAAATGATTCATGAAAACAAATACCATACAGGATTCTTAGTTCCACTGGTGACCCTGATTATTATAAAACTGTGAAAGGAAACGCATGCCACACCCTGGCCCAGGTTTAGCAACCTAGAACTCCCAGTTCTCTGTCACCTTAGTCTAGGCCTCATGCTAAACCTCTCTGTCTCCTGATTAGATCCAGAGGGATACCTCAGATTTGAGAAACAAGGCTGCAACAGCACTGTTGTTATTAGGGTTGGCCTAATGACTCTGATAAGAGTCCCTGTCAGTAATACCCAAATTGGACAAACAAGAAATTCATATGAAGATTAATAGTAGAGAAGGGTTAGTCTACCTTGAATTGTTTTTTCACCATTTAGGGTTGGAAGCCCCCAAACTTGTTGCGTCAGTTCATATTGCCAAATGAAGAACATTATAACAATGGGCTTATTCTCTTCCTTATTATTTTGGCATCATGTGTGTCCAACAGCCACTGTTTGCTCAAGGAGAGTCTCAACAGGACTTGCTGATGCTTGTGGCCAATAAGCATGGTTCCTAAGCCACTTTCACTCTGGCACGGGGTGTGGATCTAATGGTAAAGAAGCTGAATGGGAAAGGTTAGGTAACACAAATTTATGTTTTTATTTTTACTCTCTCTTTCAGTACTCAAAGCAGTCATTTTTCAGGTAGGTAATACTGAGACATCCATCCTACAAATCCAAAAACTGTGTGGTAAGTGACAGGCAAGGAGTGGAACCCTCTTATAACTGAGTTGCACAGCCTTCCACTCTCCTAAGCTCGTGCTCTGTGGCAAGACCTTTTGTTTAGGCAAATGTCAGCCATTTAAAAAGGACTAAAGGCTAACTCTGTACCCAAGTTATAGTTCTCAAGTGTCAATATTCTTCCCTCCCTCCAAACCAAGATGATACAACATCTTTAATTTCTCAAATGTCTCATATTTTCCAGAGCTGACAAGATCTCACCAAGAAGTAGTCGCTGCACTATAAGACTCTTACCTTTCACTCAGAAGACTCCCATGTTGGAGTCTTAGGTAAGTGGGCTTGCTTGAACTAGTTATCTCAGTTGGCTAGACCACAGGCCACCAAGGACAGTCAGCCACAGTCACGGACAAAATCATTCTGTTCCCAGCCATCTTTAAAACAGGTCATAAAGTGGCTGAGTGGCAACACAGATGGCCCAGGGCAGGTCATCAAGGGGACTGACGAGAGTTACCAGAACTGCCATTAACTGGAGCCACTTGTATCATGTTCATGAATGAAGTAAAAAATTCTAAGGGGTGCCTAGGTAGCTCAGTTGGTTAAACATCCGACTTCAGCCCAGGTCATGATCTCGTGGTACACAAGTTCAAGCCCCATGTCGCTCTCTGTGCTGACAGCTCAGAGCCTGGAGCCTGCTTCAGATTCTGTGTCTCCCTCTCTCTCCGCCCCTCCCCTGCTCACACTTTGTCTCTCTCTCTCAAAAATAAATAAAAACATTAAAAAAAATTCTCTCTCTTCCCGTCCCTTCACTTTTTGATCTGTTATGTTGTAGACAGTATAATGAATAGAGCACCTTCATAATAATGTATGTCCATATGGGAGAGGGTTGTTGTTACTAATCAGTCAACACTGACAACTTACAAAAAGTATTTCAACCTCTCAAAACTCTAGCCAAGTATGACATTGGAGATTCCTTTTACAGGGCTAAACTATTGGTGCATTACGATTCTTTCACATTTCACAGAAATAACAGAACAACTTTTATTTTGCCTTCCCCAATGCGGTTCTTGTATTTTGTTACTGTCTCTGCCATATGGTTAAAAAGGGTTACTCAGAGAACAACCAAATATTGTTATTTCAACACTATAGAAACTACTGAGTTTTGTTTCTCCTTAATACCTTGTGTATCCCTCCAAAAAGAATGCTCAAAGACATTTTTAATTGGAAGACATTCACTACCTATTGTCTGAATTGTGTTGGCAACGTTTGAGTAGCACCTTGAAAAAAACTCATGACGTACGTCAGCAGAAGTCCAGAAAAGGCAAGTAGAGATTTGTGGAAAGCGAAATATTACAGGACTCAAAGTGTGGTCAGAGGTGGGTCTTGTGCTATCAGATATACTAAACAAAGCACACTGGGAAAGGCAAAGCATTTAGCAGTCTGCAAGGTAAATGGATGTTTGACATGGAGTGGGGAGAGAGAGAGGTGATGGGTTCCTTCAGTTCCCCTCACACATCTTCCCACCTTCACTCTCCTTTTTTGAAGCCATGATAAAACCACAAGGATTCCCACTTTGCTCCCCTACTTTCCTCTGGCCTTCCTAACTCTTCTCTTACCCCACTTCTCTCTCACTTTCCATTTTGCCCCTCTGTACATAATCTTTTGCTTTCAACTAAAGGTAATTTCATTGCAGCTGGAAAACAACCCATGCCTTCTTCTTCCCTCATTCCCGAGTCCAGGGACCTGGGTCCCTCCTGGGCTCATTGGAGCTGGGACCTTCCCCCCTGAGCTCAGCAGCCCAAGCTGTGAGGATGATCTATTTCGTGAGTCCTCCAGTAGGCTGGCCTCTCCATGACGCCAATCTGCTCCTCTTCCCTCCCCCAGCCCCACGTCTCATCCCCAAAGAAACCTAAACTCCGTGGCCTCTGAAACTGTCTGTGCCTGGGTCCTCAAGGTCTCCGCCAGGATCCAAGATTTTTCTAACCAAAGTGGGGTTGAATCGGGGAAGACAGTACCTCTTTGCAGGCGTGAAGCTCCGGTCCCGCTGCCTGGGTCACCTGGAAGGCGGTCCCAACCCAGAGCAGCAGCCGCAGAAGCCGGAGTGTGCGCCGCTCAGTTCTTCCCCTGCGTCCGGAAGAGGGATGGAGGCTGCGCCCAGGCTCAGCCATAACGTTGTCCTGAGCGAGCGGCAGCAGCGGCTCAGGTGCTGCGGCTGCTGCTACTGCTGGCAGAAGGCGGAAAAAAAGGGGAGGGAGGTTCACAGGGGGAGGATGCAAGGGGCTGGGCTCGCTTCAGTCACCTCCCTGCGGCTACGCCGAGGCCGCCCATCCTTCCTCCTCCCTCCTTCCTCTTCTCCTCCTACCCACGTCGCCTTGGCAACCGCCTCCTCTTTCCCTCCGCGCGGGTGGGTCAGGGACCACGAGCTCCTCTGCCGCTCACCTGCCGGTCGCCATGGCAGCCGCCGCCGCTGGCGCGCGCCGCGTGGGAGGGCGCGCGCCCGGGGTCTGCAACCGGCCCAACAGGCGGGCACGGGGGGCGTGTAAAGAACGCAGTAGAAACATCCTCCAAGCCATCGCCACCAAATCCACCTTTTCCATTGCCCTTTTGTGCCATGGGCCTTTTATGAGCACCTCTAATTTTGCAGACGTGGCGTTCGACAAATACTTATTTAGCACCTCCTGTGTGTGGAGCGATAGAAGGAAGATTGAGATGCCATCTCACCTCCAGAAGTTACAGTTTGGAAGAGTGGCCCCGGTACGCGTTACCTACTGCAGCAGCCTCTTGTGGAGATCTTAACTTCCGTCCCACCAAATTCAGCGGTGCCTTTACAACCGGCTCTGTGAGAAGACTTGAGACTGGCATAAACGGATTTAAGCAAGGAGTGTTTGTGCAAGACACTTGGGCTCTTCCGTCTCCTGACATCCTCATTCTCTCATTGCTTTGAAAAATCCTTCTGTTAGATGCGAGGTAGAAGGAAATTCCTGGGTCATCTTTTAGGACTTCTTTCCCCAGATGAAGTCTTTTGCAGAAATCCTGCACGCCAGGAGGCCGGCGTTTTTCAACTAAGCCTCCCGAATGCAAATGCAGGGCTCCCTGGTACACTCGGTGACACTTGCCCTCTGCGTTCCCAGGAGCTACCTCGCAAGGGGTCTCCCGCGCTGCACCGCCAGGTGGCGCCCTTCTCGAAGGGAACTCACCTCAGTCACAAACGGTGGGGCAGTTGCTCGGCAACCGAAACTGGGCGTTCCAAACAATTGGGACCCGGGATCCTCCGCGTGCGTTGTGTGCGGCTGCGCGGGCCCCCAGTCCTTCACACCAGCGCCTTTTTGCCATGCCTTTCACCCGAGACCCTTTCCAGCACCCTACGTTGGATAACGATGATTCCTACTTGGGAAAAGCCCGAGCTTCCAAGGTACTGTGGTTTCTTGCGCAGATTCCCACCAGGGTCGATGGCACTCTTCTTTCTGTTCGCCTAATGGGCAGAGATTCTGGTAACTTAAAGGATTCTGGTGAGGACACTGAGTCAAGTACCGGATAAGTTTGCTTTCTGCCTGCCTCCTTGGCCCCATATTCAGGTCTGCTAACGTTTCAGAGGTGCTTTTGAGGAGAGTGAAGTAGAGCTCTAGCCCAGAGGAACAAGGGGCTCTCGTTGCCCAAAGCAATGCTGTGTAATGTGGCTTAAACAGTCGCAGGTCCCACCAAACCACCCTTTGCCCTGTTTGGAAAACTGTTCTCTGAAGAGACATGAGATATGGAATGGGAGAGAATCCTCTGGAAGCCACCAGGTCATGCCTTATACATCTGCCTTCACACCATCTCTGTCTTTTGGTTAATACTGGAATGTGTTTGTGTGTGTGTGTGTGTGTGTGTGTGTGTGTGTGTGTCAGTGATTTGGGAATTTAGATGATCTTTTTTTTTTTTTTTTTTCTGGCAGAGGTATTTGGGATGCTTGAAGTGGTGTGAAATACGGTGAATTAAATAGTAATTGTGGCTTAAATAACAGGATCAAAGAGCTTCCTTTGGTTTATTCAACATTTATCATTTACCATATGCCAGGCAATCTGCTCAACACTGAGGATATATAGATGAATTAGATATGGCTCCTGCTCTAGAGGAACTCTGGTAGAAAAGCTGACTGACAACCACAACAGCAAGAATGCCTGCACAATAGCACAGGTGTTATGACAGAGTTATATGTTGTGTATCAGGAGAACTGGGAGCTTAAAGGAAAGCTTCCCAGAGCAGGTGAGTTTTCACATCCAAATAGCTGGGCCAGGTGAGGGAGGAGGTGGAATGTGAGTTAAGAAGAAGGAAACAAGAACCAGACGTTCAGGGCAGAGGAGGCAGCGGGTGCCCATACATGGAAAGGAGAGAAAGAGTGGCCTGTTGGGGACCAGAGTCCAGAATGGCTGGAGCATCAATGTGAGATGGAGGAGGGGAGAGAGCAGGAGCCGGAGCGACCTTGTTGGACTGGATGTGCTGTGTACACCATGCTAGTGAGCTAGGATTCCATCCTGGAGGCACCGGGGCATCATGTCAGGATTTTAAGCACTACAATGACACAATCAATGGGTGTTTCAGAAAACACAGTGACAGTGGATTGGGTAGAATGGGAGTTAGGACAAGAGGAATCAGCAAGGAGGCAAGAGCCTCAGGAGGCAGCAGTCTCCAGGAGGAATAACGGATCTAAAGCAGGGGATGGCAATATGGTGCAGATGTGAAAAAGATGCAAAGGGCAGGACTGATGAGACTTTGTGGCTGGATATGGATGGGCCCAAAAGAAGGGACAAGTCTAGGATAGCTCCTAGGTGTCCGAGGACTTAATTGATGCCATTACTGAATGAGGGATTCAGGGGAAGCAGGTTTGGGGAGAAAGATGTTCAGATAAGTTATGCAGATGTTGTTTTGTGGTGCCTGTAGGACTCTTAAGTGAACATGAATAGCAGGCAACATGCTTGAGAGTTCTAGGTTGAAGATGTATATCGGGAAATCAAAATAGCCATGTGGTGGTTGAAGCCATAGGAAGGAATGAGCTCATCCAGTGAATGTAAGAATACAAAAAAACAAAAAACAAAAAACAAATAAAAACCTTGGAGAATGCACTAAGGGGCAGAGAAAGAGAAAATAGTGCTGACAAGGGAGCTAAGCAGTTACGACTAAACTCAAGAGGAAAACAAGGAGGAACTGGACCCACGGAGCATGGAGAGAACATTTGAGGGAATCTGAATCATGGTTCCAGAAACTGCAGAGGTCAAATAAGATCAGGTCTGGAAAGGATCCTCCAAACCTAGCTAAAGATAAAGATGACTGGTCACTAGCAAGAGCAGTTTCAGTGCTTGCTTGAGAAAGAGGCCAGACTGCAGTGGCTAAAGAGGGGACGGAAATGGGGAGGAAGTGGAGATAGTAAATGTCAACTCTTGAAGTCTAGTTCTGCAGGGAAGGTGATAGAGTGGTAGTGAGACGGTGATAAAGGAACTAGAGAGAAGCTGAGTACAGGGGATGCTAGGATGGTGCAGGTCTCTCTGAAGCACAAGGCTAGGTTCAGGGGGAAAAGGTTATTCCTTTTTATTATTATTTTTGAAGTATAGTTGACATACAGTGTTATATTCATTTCAGGTGTACAACATAGCGATTTGACAATTCTATTCATTACTCAGTGCTCACCACAGTAAGTGTAGTCAACACCTGTCACCGTACAACATTATTACAATATTATTGACTATATTCCCTATGCTGTACTTTTCATTCCCGTGGCTTTTTTGTTTTATAACTGGAAGTTTGTATATCTTAATTTTTTCATCTATTTCACCCCTCTCTCTACCCATCTTCCTTCTGGCAACCTTTAGTGTGTTCCCTGCATTTATGGGTCTATTTCTGCTTTTGTTTTGTTTTGTTTTGTTTTTCAGGCTCCACATATAAGTGAAATAATATGGTATTTGTCTCTCTTTGTCTGACTTCTTTCACTTAGCAGATACCCAGGCTCCATCCATGTTGTTGAAAACAGAAAGATTTTTCTTTTTTATGACTGAGTAATATGCCGTTGTGGGTGGATGGATAGATAGATAGATAGATAGATAGATAGATAGATAGATGAATGGATAAAGAATAAAGATATAGGGGCACCTCAGTGGCTCAGTCGGTTAGGTGTCCAACTCTTGATTTCGGCTTAGGTCATGATCTTACAGTTGGCAGGATCGAGCCCCATGTTGGGCTCTGTGCTGACAGTGTGGAGCCTGCTTAGCATTTTCTCTCTGCCCCCCTCCACTTGCACTGTCTCTCGCTCTCAAAATAAATAAACATTAAAAAAGAATAAAGATATATAGATATCACATTTTCTTTATCCATTCATCTATTGATAGGCGCTTGGATTGCTTCCATGTCTTGGCTATTGTAAATAATGCTGCAGTAAACATAGTCCATATATCTTTTTTAATTAGTGTTTTCGTTTTCTTTGGGTAAGTACCCAGTAGTGGAATTATGGAATTGTATGGTATTTCTATTTTTAATTTTTTCAGGGACCTCCATACTGTTTTCCCCAGTGACTGCACCAATTTACATTCCCATCAACATTGCACAAGGGCTCCCTTTTCTCCACATCCTTGCCGACACTTGTTATTTCTTGTCTTTTTTTTTTTTCTGGTCTTTTTGATGCTAGCCATTCTGACTTGTGTGAGGTGATACTTCATTGTGGTTTTAATTTGCATTTTCCTGATGATTAGTGATGTTGAGCATCTTTTCGTGTGACTGTTGGCCATCTGTAGGTCCCCTTAGGAAAAATGTCTATTCAGGTCCTCTGCCCCCTTTTTAATCAGGTTTTTTTTGTTTTGTTTTTTGGTGTTGAGTTGTATAAATTCTTTATATATTGTGCATATTAATTATCAGATATATTATTTGCAAATATCTTCTTCCATTCAGTAGGTTGTCTTTTCATTTTGTTGATGGCTTTCTTTGTGAACAAGCTTTTTATTTTGGTGTACTCCCAATTGTTTATTTTTCTTTTTGTTTCCCTTCCCTGAAGAGACATATCCATAAATATTTTGCTAAGGCTAATGTCCAAGAGATTATTGCATATGTTTTCCCTTAGGAACTTTATGGTTTCAGGTCTCACATTTAGGTCTTTAATCTATTTTCCTTTTGTTTTTGTGTATGATATAAGAAAGGGGCTTAGTTTCATTGTTCTGCATGTAGCTGTCCAGTTTTCTTCCCAGCATCATTTATCAAAAGAACTGTCTTTTCCCCATTGTATACTCTTGCCTCCTTTGTCATAGATTAATTGACCATAAAAGCATGAGTTTATTTGGGGGCTTTCTATCCTATTCCATTGATCTATGTGTCTATTTTTGTGCCAGTACTATATTGTGTTTGTTTGTTTGTTTTTAGTTTATTTATTTGTTTTAGTAATCTATACCCCCAGTGTGGGGCTTGAACTCATGACCCTGAGATCAAGAGTTTCATGCTCTTCCAACCAAGCCAGCAAGGCACCTAAAGTACTATATTGTTTTGATTACTATAGTTTTGTACATGTCTTGAAATCTGGGATTGTGGTACCTCCAGCTTTGTTCTTCTTTCTCAAGATTGCTTTGGCTATTCGAGGTCTTTTGTTCCATAAAATTTTAGGATTATTTGTTGTAGTTCTGTGAAAAATGTTATTGGTATTTTGATGGGGATTGCACTGAATCTTTAGCGTGCTCCGGGTAGTATGGACATTTTAACAATATTATTTCTTCCAATCCATGAGCATGGTATATCTTTCCATTTGTGTTGTTTTCAATTTCTTTCATCAATGTCTTAATAATTTTCAGAAAAGAGGTTTTTCACTGCCTTGGTTAAATTTATTCCTAGCTATAATATTATTTTTGGTGCAATTGTAAATAGAATTGTTTTCTTAATTTGTCTTTCTCCCACTTTGTTATTGGTGTATAGAAACAATGGATTTATGTATATTAATTTTGTATTCTGCAACTTTACTGAATTCATTTACTAGTTTCAATAATTTTTTGGTGGAATCTTTAGGATTTTCTATACATAGTATCATGTCACATGCAAATAGTGACAGTTTTACTTCTTCCTTACCAATTGGGATGCATTTTATTCCTTTTTCTTATCTGATTTCTGTGGCTAAATCTTCTAATACTATGTTGAATAAAAATGGTGAGCACAGACATACTTATTTTGTTCCTGATCTTAGAGGAAAATCTTTGAATTTTTCACCATTAAAATTGATATATAACTTTATGATGTGGAGATACATTCCCTCTAAACCTACTTTGTTGAGATTTTTTTGTCCTGAACAGATGGTGTATTTTGTCAAATGCTTTTTCTGCATCTATTAAGATAATCATATGGTTTTTATCCTTCCTCTTGTTAATGTGATGTAACATATTGATTGATTTGTGAATACTGAGCCCCCGTGCATTGCTGGAATAAATCCCACTTGGTCATGGTGAATGATCCTTTAAATGTATTATTGAATTTGTTTTGCTATATTTTGTTGAAGATTTTTGCATCTATGTTCATCAGGGATATTGGCTTTTTTTTTTTTTTTTTCATTTGTAGTGTCTTTGATTTTAGCATCAGGGTAGTGCTGACCTTGTAGAATGAATTTGGAAGTTTTCCTTCCTCTTCTATTTTTTTGGAATAACTTGAGAAAAATGGGCATTAACTCTTCTTTATTTTCCTAAAATCTTAATTTTTGGGAGAGAGAGAGAAAGAGAGAGAGAGGTAGACAGAGAATCCAAATAAGGCTCCTTGCTGTCAGCACAGAGCCCAATGTGGGGCTCAAACTCATAAACTGTGAGATCATGACCTGAGCCAGTCAGATGCTTAACTGACCGAGCCATCCAGGTGCCCCAACTATTTTTTAAATGTTTGGTAGAATTCACTTGTGAAGCCATCTAGTCCTGCACTTTTGTTTGTTGGGACTTTTAAATTACCATTTCAATTTTGTTACTAGTAATTGGCCTGTTCAAATTTTCTATTTCTTCCTGATGTAGTTTTGGAAGATTCTGCATTTCTAGGAATTTATCCTTTTTTTTCTAGATTGCCTAATTTGTTGGCATATAGTTTTTCATAATATTCTGTTGTAATTATTTCTGTTTCTGTGATGTTGGTTATTGTTTCTCCTCCTTCGTTTCTGATTTTATCTAAGTCCTCTCTTTTTTTTCTTTTTCTTGATGAGTCTAGCTAAAGGTTTATCAATTTTATGTTTCCCATGGTTTCATTGATCTTTTCGTGTATGTGTGTGTATGTTTTAGTCTGTATTTCATTTATCTTTGCTCTGATCTTCATTTTTCCTTCCTTCTACTAACTTTGTTAGTTCTTTGTTAGGGTTTGTTTGTTCTTCTTTTTCTAGTTTCTTTAGATCGTTTGATTATTTTTCTTGTTTCTTGATGTAGGCCTGTATTGCTATAAACTTCCCTCTTACAACTGCTTTTGCTGAATCCCAAAGACTTCGGACAGACAGCTGTGTTTTCATTTTCTGTTTCTTGATTTCCTGATTTCTTAGTTGACCAATTGGTCATTTAGTAACATGTTGTTTAGCCTCTGTGTGTTTGTGTTTCTTTCAGGGTTTTGTTTTTTTTTTTCCCCCTTCTAATTGATTTCTAGTTTCAGCACTATTGTGGTCGGGAAAGTTGCTTGTTGTGATTTCAGTTTTCTTAAATTTGTTGAGACTACGGCGCCTGGGTGACTCAGTCAGTTAAGCTTCCAACTTCGGCTCAGGTCATGGTCTCACAGTTCGTTGAGTTCAAGCCCCACATCAGGCTCCATGCTGACAGCTCAGAGCCTGGAGCCTGCTTCAGATTCTGTGTCTCCCTCTCTCTCTGCCCCTCCCCTGCTTGCACTCTGTCTCTCTCAAAAATAAAAAATAAAACATTAAAAAAAATTTTTTTTTAATTTTTTTAATTAAAAATTTTTTTTATTGAGACTTGTTTTGTGGCCTAATATGTGACCCGTCCTGGAGAATGCTCTATGTGCTCTCAAAAAGAATGTGTAATTCTGGTGCTTTGGATGGAATGTCCTGTATATATCTGTTGGGTCCATCTGATCTAATATGTCATTCAAAAACATCATTTCCTTGTTGGTTTTCTGTCTGGATGATCTATCCATTGATATAAGTGGGGTAAAGTCTCCTAGTGTTATTGTATTACTATCAATTTCTTGCTTTTTTTTTTTTCAATTTCTTCCTTTATGTCTATTAAGATTTGCTTTATGTATTTAGGTGCTCCTGTGTTTGGTACATAGGTAATTGTTATATCCTGTTGTTGGATTGATCCTGTATCACTATGTAATGCCCTTATTTGACTCTTGATACAGTCTTTGTTTTAACATTTGTTTCGTCTGATATAAGTATTGCTACCTGGCTTTTTTTTCTTCCATTTGAGGGGAATATGTTTTTCCATTCATAAGGGTTATTCTTGAGTAAAAGGGACATCTCTTTCTTTGAGATAGAAGGACATTGGATGTGAGGATGGTATTCATGCTCAACAGTCTTGACTTTCTCAGTGAAAGACAGTCTCATCCACTGAATGAGGACATGATGAGACTTCTGTAGCTTTTGAAAAGTGGGAGGAAATCTGCCTATGCTTGCCTCATATATTTGTAGTTTTGTTTCATTTGTCATCTTTTTTGCTGGTGGCACACTGCCTGGAACATAGTATTCAATTAATGTATAACTGACCTGAGTCACACAGCATTTTGCCATATATAGAGGGGAGGAGGGTTTCAACATTGGATAGGTTGAATTTGATTTCTACTAGGTTGGAGTTGTACTCACTAGAATTCAGTCATCATTCAAACAGTATTTCATTTTTGAATGCCAGGTGTTAGGTTGCTGTTCTAGACACTAGGGATACAATATAGCTTTACATACAATGAAGAAAATCAGTAATGTGCTTTTCACACTCATGCTTATGCGGTTCTATTTAGAAGATTGACTAACCAGTGTACTTTTTCTTTGACATTTCTGCAGTCACTTCCCTGCTGATATTTTTCTCTTCCTGCTTAGACACTGCACTCTTCTGATTCTCCGGTCTCTGATTGCCTTAGTGTCCTTTCTCTTTCCTCTCCACCCGCCCCCCCCCCTCCATTATAATATTATACAGTCATGAGCCCTTTTGGCCACACTCCTTTTGCAGGCTTCAGCTACTACTTCATGCGGACAACCATCAAACCTCTATTACGTGTTCTGAGCTCTCCTCTAACTTGCACACTTCCCATTTTCTACCTGTTGACTGCAATCAGATGTCTTGCCTTTTCTTCAAACTCAGGACATCTAAGCCTGAGCTCATCATCTTATCTCCTCTGCACTCTTTACCCCCTGTCCCACTTCACCCCTTTCCCTGTATTCCTGGCCTACTTCTGCCAGTTCTAAGATTGAAAACTTAGGAGCATCTAAAGTCTAGGAATCTTGCCTCATATTGTTCCTCCCTTGGAAGATATCTGAGGTTCAGTTAAAATAGGATGGAATAAGGAGATGGTGTCACTGAAGCCATCACTTCAGCAAGGCCTCCTGTAACCAGGTCCTGTGTGTGGTTTCTCTTTTGCAGAAACTGCCATATAAGAACCCAAATCATCTTGCTCAGCAACAGGAACCCTGGAGTCGGCTCAACTCAACTCCCACAATCACCTCCATGAGGCGGGAAGTTTATTTTTTTGATCCTGAGGTACCTAGTATTGAAATGCTATTTCTCTTTACATCCGCTTAAGACTCGTGACTATCATTTTTGGAAAGGTAGTCTGTCCTTAACTGCATCACCGTCTTTATTTTGTCCCCAATCCAAGATCCTACCAAATCCAAAACCAAATATTGATTTATCTGGCCCCTGGGAATTTGGAAGACTTCAGTTTTTTCTCCAGTTGATTATCTGGAGCAAGTTGTTTTCTTACCAGACTTCTCTTCTGATTGTAACCATAAATGAAGTAAGGCCCATTAGGCCCAACTAAAGGACAGTATAATTATTTCCATATCTCCAGTAAGAACTCACCCCTCCTTAGGCCTAACCATGACACAATTCTATATTGACAAGAGTTAAGATGTCTTTGGTGTGTAAGGAGTTGGTGGGTCTCAGGCACAAAAAGGGTTCGCTCTGCTTTTGGGGAAAAGTAGAGCCCAGCAGAACTGACTAGAGTTGGGGTAGAGGTGGCAAGTTAACCCTGGGGTGGGGCGTATTGACTTCCTCTGTAGATACCCAAGGATGACCTGGATTTCCGCTTAGCAGCCTTGTACAACCACCACACAGGGACATTCAAGAACAAAAATGAGACACTCTTACATCAGGAGACCACCCAGGATACCCATGGGTAAGTGGTGGAGGTGGAGCCTCTCCGTCCTAAGGACAATGCCATCCAGTCAAGTAAGGTAATGTGTTACCTGAGAAATAACAACGATAACCAAGAGGTACTCATTTGTATACAGATTTCTATATTTTTTACATCTGTATCTGTAATGCAATTTCTATATTTTTATTATCTAAAATGAATAGCGATCCTCCAGGATTGTTCTTATCTGTATAAACAAACAAAAGCTTCAGTTGATTCCACTGAAAAAGATAAAAAGGATCTTTGGCTGCATTATTTCTGAGGCTGCATGCAACTCTTTCCCTCCTCACCTTTCTCCTTCTGATTGATTTCACTCTCCCCTGTTCTTCCCCATACCATCTTCCAGAATCATCAAGACCCAATTCCCTGGAGAACCTTTACCCCCTCCTCTGCCACCTTCCATCACTTCCCAGGCTAACATCAGACACTGGATCAACCCTAAGAAGGAGTCTATCCACAGCATCCAGGGATCCATAGGTAAGGGTTAGAAGACTGGGGGGCAGATGGGTGGTACAAGAGTTTTTTTTAAATGGACCTAGGAATCAGGGAGTTGAGGTGATTGGCCATTAGAGAACTTAAGGGATAACTTAGGATCTAGGAATAGCAGTGACTAAGTTGACATATATCAGGCTAAACCCAGGGGACATGCTGCCTATAAGCTAGGAAATGAGTTCAATTTTTCAGAGCCTTTAACTCAGCCTTAGGTCTAGGGAACAAAATTTCTAGCAAAGGGCAGAAACCTGGGAATGAAAGGTCTCTAGCTATCTCCCATTAGTCCCCTATATGCCAGTTTCCCAGCTGTTACAAGACAGCTTGTTACTGCTCCACAGTACCCAGAAATGTATGGATGATTACAGGTTCCCAGAAAAGGCAAACAATTGAAATTCACAACCTACTCCCTCTTCTCTTTTCTCCACAGTGTCCCCTCATACTGCAGCCACCAATGGAGGCTACTCCCGAAAGAATGATGGTGGCTTCTTCTCTACCTAGTGTTGACAGGCCCCTGGACTAATTAATCATAGTGGAACGTCCTTTCGCCAACCTCCATTAAATAGATTTGTGCTGGATGAAGCTTGAAGTGTGTTGCCCAAGGACTAAAAGTTGACACTTGACTACTCTTAAAATATGGAAGTTTCCCAACTTCTAGAAGTTAGTCCTGCTGGACATATTTGCAATTTGGAGTCATTTTTGCTGAGAAGATAAGGATTTAGAAGTCATTCCAAACATTGATGTATCCATTCAACATTTCTTGCGAACTTTTATATGTCAGGCACTGAGCTAAGTGTTGAGGAAACAAGAATGGACGTAGCCTATTTTCTTAATGAGCTCACACTGCCATAATTCTGGTAGTTCTATGTGGCATTAATGGTTATGATGAGGTCACACTTAACATACTTCGGACCAAGTGGATTTTGTCATCTACTGGACTCTACCTTGCCATGAGGGCTCTATCTGTCTGGTCCAGGCTCCTTGCCATTGCTCATTCTCTGACTCTGCGGTCTTCTTGCCTGGGAGTCAATTCCCTTCTTTGTCAACTTGTGCCGTGAAATACAGGCAGTTCTTCTAAACATGGTTCAATAATCTGGTGCTTGGGCTTAAGGGGACCTAAAAACCAATGCAGTAATGTGGTTTCTAAAATTACAAGTCACTCAGGGGGACCTGCTGTTAAATTGGGCAAGAAATGGCAGACCTTTTAGAATACTGTAGGGTAAACTTCCATTTCTAAGTTTGGACAGCATGTGCATTATTGAATAATGCAGATATGAAAGGACTTCTTCCTGTTACTTAGGTACACATGGTCCTTAAATCCCACCAATCTGTCACAGCCCCTCTTCCACAGTTACTCCACCTATTCAGATAGTATCTGCTGCCAAGTGACCATATGAAGTTTCAATTCTCATTATTTATAATGGCTGAAAGCGGCAGAGATGGGTGACTCTCCAGATAATCATCTCATGCAAGTTATTTGATACTGAAATATTTAAAAATTTAATAATGTGACCCATACATCAAGGTTTTTAAAAATACAGACTCGTTGACCTCCCTAATAAATCTAATTCAGTAAATCTGGGGCGGGTCCCTGGAATCTGAATATTTACAAGCTCTCCAAGTTCTCTTACGGATACTCACACACGCGATATACACACACGCGCGCGCACACACATGTATAGGCGTGCATATATACATAGAGGCTTTAGCGACAGACGCTGTAGTGTGCTTCTAGATCAGCGGGCACCAGTGTTGGTACCATACAAACGGTCATCACAAGTCGGGACTAAAGGAATAAAGGGAGGGGTGCTAAAGAAAAACACTGAAGCGGCAAACACGACTTCGTGCCCTTCCAGCAACAGGGGGCGGAGCGATGGCTCCTTCACCCGCGCCTTCCCCACCCGTCAGCGCCCCTGCCGCCGCCGATTGTAAACGCCTTAGCCCCAATGCCACGGGTGGCCGTGCCCCAGGGCCGGGCTCAGATCAGAATCGCCTCGATAATCAGTGGCCCGGGACTAGCCCGGCCTCGTCTATCTGATCAATTCATCATTTCTGAGCGCCGGGCCCCGTAAGACCGGCTCCGGGACCGCAGCGTCGCCGCCGCCAAAGGGGCCTCGCTGCACAGCGCCCCAGAGTAGGGGGCTTCGCAGGAGGGGAGCTTTTCATATCGGGTCGGCCCCGCGGGGCAAGGGTCACAACCCGATCAAATAAGATCAAGGTGTAGGCGGGGGAGAGTGGCTCAGGGACGGGCGCACACACTCTCCTTGCACGCCACACGCGCACACTCACAGTCAAGCACCCACTCACACTCAACCCATACGCGCCTTCCATTCAACACCAAAGCACCACACAAACCACCTCGCCCTAGGCCGCTCTCCCTCCGGAAGGAGAAAGGAAGTCCGCATCCTCTTTTAAATCCCTCCGCCCCTCCCCCACCTCGGAGGATTCTGGGAGGAACCACTGAGCATAGGCCCTCGTGACGGTATGCGTTTTGCTGCCCTCGCGTGGCTCGGAGGGGAACGAACCCAGGTCCGAGGGAAAGGCTGGACAAAATCCGGCAATCCTAAATCGTGCTTGTCTTTTGGTCTTTGTGCAGCAGCATATTTATATCCATATCTCTAGTTTTTCTTTGGTCTTTGACCCAAGTTCTGGATATAAGATGATTCAGTCTCAGATTTATAGGTGGCTACTTTCCCATGGAGAAGGCAAATCCCGGTCATTAACCAGTATCAGGTTCTGCAGGAGTTCCTCCCCCAAGGGAGAAGGAAAACATCATTTTACCAAAGGGAAGGATGAGAATAGGTTACTTAAATCCAAGGGCTTGGTAGTCATGATAATTGTGAGATGAGTAAAAGTAGGAAGGCATATCCCTATCCTCATTCACAAGAGCCCTCTTGCTACCTGGAACTTGGTTCTGTGGCAGTCATATTGCTGAACCTTCATTAACTTGCATGTCTGTTAAAGCATGTCTAACTTTCCAATTCCAGAATAAGTAGTGAAAAAAAAAGTAGTGATTATATAATTAGTATTAGCTCCTTTCATATCAAGGAACACAATTTTAATGTCTGTTACCTTCTCTTTTTTCAGTGAAAAAGGTATGGATGAGGGTAAATCAGAAAAATATTGTTAATTTATAATTTGTAACTGTACCAATCCCACCGTGCACTTATAAACAAATAGGGGGAAAGTATCCATTTATGTGCCAGAATCCCATTGGCTCAAGGATTGCCTAGGTTCATAGCTGGTTAACCCGATAACCTCATTTGAATGAAGGAGTTTATGACTGGTAATGGCAGGTGATACTTGTATTTTAATAGTAGTGGCAGATAAAATGTTTTGAGGAGTGCTATTTACCTTATTTAATACACCTCAACACTTATTCATGTATATATGCTGATATATATGAATGCTGATGCATGTATGAGCTCCCTCAAAGGAGAAAAACACACGCTCATAAATTATGAACTATATCGTATATTTGGTGACCATCACACTAGGTTAACAGGAATGATGGTATTCACTATGATGTAAACTAAAAAGGTATATACCATGGGCAGAACCCAGAAGAGTATTGAACAAAGTTCAATGAATTCATGTGACAAATAAAATGGACAAAAACGGTAGGGAAAGGAATTTTATTTTCAAGGATTTGTGCAGACAGTGGTGAATAAAAAATTTTATTTCAACTATAAAAGGCTGACTTCATTCCACCCTGGCATTCAGGGTTTATGGTGATGCCAGTTTGAATCTGAGGCAATATTGCTATCCCCATTCTCCTACCCCTAAGACTTCCTTAGGGGAATAACGTCCTACAATTTTCAGTCAAAAAATATATGACACACCAACCAAAGTAATGAATTAAACAGGTTTCTGCTGATCTGCTTACATAAACACAAGAAATGAAATAAGCTGTGTTATTAGATTCTTGCTGCAAATTACCTTCATTCTGTACACTTTTTGGTACATTCTCATATGAAAACACCTCAAAATATAACAATTTAGGGCAAGATGACCCACCCAGGAGGCTGTAAAAATTGGGTTTGAACTGGAACTGTGAAATGAGTTTAAAATGGAAGCAGCTCTATTCACCAAGCTTAGAGACATTAGCCCTGTTGGAAAACAAGTCATTAAAGCTACAGAATAACAAGTGCAAAACATGCTGAACCTGTATTTCCAGGGAGTGGCACTCCTGCTGGCCAACAGGTCCCAAACTCACACCTACAAGGTGTAACTCTTCCTTTCTGTTCTAATAGATTTCCTTTCCCTCGTGTGAAAGATCCTCAGGAGGGACACTGGAAACCATATTAATCAGTGAAATGTACCCTCTGGGCCAATTCCTGAAGAGAAAAAAGCACAACTCCGAGAGGATGAGATGTGTAGTGTTTACTTGGTGACCTGCTACACCTCTAGAAACCCTCAAAGCACTAAACTGCCTGTTTTGAAACCTAAACTTCCTAGCAGCTTTTCTTTGGGGATAAGACAAAAGACAATTTCCTGCCACACAGAGATCAACTACAGCTAACTTGTCCACAATCACGTTTTACTGTATGGGTGATTCAATTGGCTCCTATGTCTATGCCTGTTTTTTACAGTAATGTAATTTTAGACCAACTCTTTTTCATTTTTTTTAATGGAGAAGTCATCCCTTCAAATGTTGAGTCATCTAAAATGATTTGCGCAAGAGTTACCACATTCCATGGGAAAGCCCGTCAATCTCCCTTGCAAACATCTGTTTTCCTTTATTCTCGAAAACACCCTCATTTCAATCATGGATTCTGTGAACTATCCAAACATGCCTATGCATATCAGCAACTTCTCTCTCTCACTTGAATTTATCATGTTCTTGTAACACAGAATTTCCAAGGGATAGCTAAAAAGTACTGCAATATGAGGCAACCTAAGAGTTGCCCAAGAAAAACAAGTAATCAATTAAAAACTGCCATTATAAGCCAGATTTAAACACAGAATAAGACTGTGGATAAGTCTTGGATAACGTGACATAATGTGGATAATCCAGTAAGTCTTGGATAACGTGACAAAACGTCCATCTAACATCACAGTAAATTCTTATACTAGATGACTTTACTAGTGTATGAATTATATACTAGATTTCTTTTACCCTAACTGCAAATATATTAAAAATTATTTCTTCAATACTTTCTCTTTCCCCTAGCGATGGCATTTAAAACTGAGTGACACTTATTCAGCACTCAGTAATCTAAAATATATAAAAAGGCTTTAGGAAAATTGCAACACTAGATTCATTTTCCATCTACCATTTGATGGGGTGAAGTCTCCTTTGGGGGATACTGGTGAACAGAACATTTTTCCTTATCTAAGTTACTGCTTTCTGGTCTCATCACAGATAAATCTTACACAGGCCCAGATTTTCTTGGCAAACTCTTAAGCTGCCAGCACACAGCACAGCTATATCATCTGTTCTCTTTTTGCAATGAGGACCATGCCTCTCTCTTATGTTCCCATATGAGTATATGAAAGATAAATTTCCAAAGTCAAAAATTTTCTTGGCATTGTTTAACTCCTCTTTCTCCCACCCACCCACCCACCCCGTTCCCATCAATTTGCCAAATGCAAATCAGTGAAAAAGAAAAGTCAAGTCTTGAAAATTCTCTCTCCTTCCAAGAGGTGTGAACACAGCCTATGTCCTTCCCTGATGAGTCTCAGTTTGAAAAGCTCCTGATGAGGGACTGAAGAACAAAATAGGTGACAGGTTTTTATGCAGGAGGTATATGTAATCTTATCACCGTGGAGTGTAATTTATCTGGACATTATATGCTCTCTGCTGAGGACTGATTCACATACAGATCAAAGGAAGTTGGCTTCCTCGAGTCCCCTGAAGCATAAATAATGTTTGTAACCATGAGGAGTTTTCCCCACATATGGTAGGAGCAGATGCTGTGGTGTCATCTTGGGGACTTTGATGATTTTAGCTGAGCTCTCTCACGTTGGGCCCAGGCCCCGGACAGGTTCTTCACCCTCATCCTCTTGGTTGGCAGCTGATGAGATGGATGCGTTGGAATTCATTTTACAAACAGGACGTAAAAGGCCATTACAACACAGGC